ATCTCAAATAAACATATTTCCAGCTACACCCCTCAAGTTCCCCTTTCAGGAAGCCCTGGGTGACCTAGATAACTGACCCCTCTGTGACCCCATGTTTTCATTCCTGCTCCTCAATTCGTGTTCTTATGTTTTAAATTCACCAATAAAGAGTGAACCTACAAAACCCTAGCTGCCCCCACCAGACCCCAATAAAGGCAGAGTCCAGGTCTACACTCTGTCTCTCTACCAGCAACTTTGCTGCGTGGCCCCACCAGGGCCGCGAATCCTCCAGGACCTGTGAGTCATAAACCTCATCTTTTCAAAGTTCCCTGATGGTTATTGCTGAGGTGTGTCCTGCAATCATAAGAACCACAAGGTCGGGTCCAGCCACAGGGAAGCCACAGGAGTGCAGGCCCAGGTAAGGCTCCAGAAATCCCTAACAACGGCATCGTTATCGATAGGCTGAGAGACCCACCCCAAACCACCCTTGCCCACCCAACTATCCACCCTTCTGAGGCCCATCCATGCCAATGCTCTTGGCTAGGGGCTGGGGAGACACAGAGGTGGATGCAGGGGCACCCAGTGTTCAGGAGACGAGGTGTGACGGGCACAGTGTGCTGGCAGAGAGCGAGCGGAGGCCAGCCCACCAGGGTCGAGTCCTGCCTCACTGCCTGTCTTGCACAGCCTGTGGGCGAGTTGACCCCAGGGGCCTGGTCGACTTGGTAAATGGCATTGCCACCCCCATTCTGAGGCTTACACTGGCCCCCAGGGTCCTGAGGTGGCCACCCCCTCTTGCAGCCGCAGGTGCTCCCGGGCATTAAGGGCGGGGGGAGCACCACGTGCTGCCTGAGACAGCCATCAGCTTTTTTCCAGTCCTTGGTTTTATTGACTCCAAGGGGCTGCCAGAGTTATAAATAGATGTTCTTGAGCTAAAAATAGCCTTGCTGGAGCGACAGCCCTTGCTTCTAGCTCTCAGCCTCTTTGAGGACTCAAGGATGCAGGACTCAAGGACCGCCCTCCTCCCGCAGCCGGCAGAAGGGCTGACCTGCCTCCTACCCTTTCCCCCGCTTCCTTCCTCCTCCTGCCGAGCCTCCTGGAACACACACACACTGCACGCACTTGTGTGTTCATACAAGCACTCACACACACCCACATTCACACACACACACCCACATGTGCTCTCACACATGCACGTGTGCTCACACACATCCACATATGCTCACACATGCAGTGTGCTCGCATACCCACATATGTTCACACAAATTTGCTCACACATGCAGGTGTGCTCATATACATGCACATGTGCTCACACACCATGTGCTCACACACGCACATGCACTCACACACCCTTGTGTGCTCACACTCACCTGCAAGCACTCACACACCCATGCATGCTCACACACATGTGATCACATACACATGCATGTGTACTCACACATGCCCACATATGCTTACATACACACATGTGCACTCATACATGTATTCACATACATGCACATGTGCTCACACACGCACATGCGCTCACACCCATCCACATATGCTCACACATGCATGTGCACTCACATAACACACACACAGAGACCTGTCCCATGTCCCTGGTTTGGGCCACCTGCCTGTTTGGAAAGTGAGAAGGGTCCATAGGATAAAGCCGCCAATCCTCCAGGAAGTTCAGACTCCGCAAAGCCTCGCACTGCTTCGTGCAGAGGACCACCAGGCCGAGGGCACAGCTCCAATGGGGGGCCGCCTGGACACTGGGAGATGAGAAATGCCCGGAAAACACCTACTGTGGGGCCTGGCGCATGGTGAGCACTCAGCATGTAGGAGCCGTGGTTACACTAACAGCCAGGTAAACCCTGGAGTGACCCAGAGGAGGCACGTCTAAGAATGTGTCCCACGAGAGCATCACACGGTGCTCAGAGCTGTGACTCTGATTGCACACGGTGGTGGGGGGGGAATGAAGCTCGGCTCCACAGGGGGGCGGTGGGGGTGGGCACAAAGGCTGCACCACACTGTGGAGTCCCCTCAGTGGGGAGGGAGGCTGCCTCCAGGGAGCGGAGCCCAGTGTCTGGGGACAGGGTGGCGGATACAATACTTCCCACCAGACGCCCTGTGTGCCTTCGGTCCTCGCACCACGTGCACACATCACTTCAGGAAATAACTTAATATTTAACGAGCTAGTTGCAGACCCTCTACATAGCTGGATCCCCCTTTCTGTTAAAAAGGAAAAGCTACTGTGTGGTATGTGCAACGCTTGTCCACATGTGCACACGCGCACACATGGAGGTCTGCGGCGGGCAGTGAACCATTCCCAGCGGTCACTCCTGGGCAGTGGGGTGCAGGGGAGTTGAGGGGCAAAACAGAGTTTTTATTTTACATAGCTCTAAGTTAAGTTTTCACCAGCACGTAACAAGAAGTGTGCTCTACGTTCTGGGTGCAGCTGAGGGCCTGTGCTCTGCCTCTGTCCTTCCTGGGCCCTCCTCCAGCGCTGCTCCTGACCCTGCGGCACCTGCCCTCTGGGCTTGGGGCAGTATGACTTAATACCCAGGCCCAATACCCCAGCCTCCTGGCCTCAGGGAGCCTCCAGAACCGCCCCCCACCCTCCACCCCAACCACCACCAGCCCAAAGAAAGAGGCAGCCAGAGGCTCAGAGAAAACATCCATCTTAGGATTTATTACAACACATTGTTTCCAAATACAAAAGAGGGGTCAGGACAGGGAGCAGAAGGTGTGGCGGCGCTGGGGGAGGTTCTGAGGCCGGGTGGTGGGCGGCCCAGTCCAGAGAGACTGGGAGTCCCATAGGGGACCTGCCATCTCTCCTCCGCTGGACTTTCCAGCAAATAATAGGAGGAGGCTGGGTCCATTCTGGGGTGACCCCCATGCCAGGGCACTGGGCCGGGCGGGAGGGGTGGGAGGAACGGGAGAGACTGGAGAGGGCTGGGGCCCAGCCCCTCCCTGCCTCGGACAGTGGGTGGAAGTGACCAGGGAGGGGCTTGTGCCCCATGCCTGGTCCCCAGCACAGGAGGGGGCGCAGCCGAGACAGGACCCTCTTCCCGTCACAGCTGCTCACTTTGGGGTGACCAGTGCCTCAAGAGCAAGAGCCCCCACACGCCCCAGGACAGAAGCCACAAGAGACGCTGCAGCCCTGGAGAAAGGGGGAAGGGAGGGAAGGACAGGGGGCCATAGGACCTGCCTCCAGAGTTTTGGGGCCCAACCAGTGGCCCCAGACCACTGTCTCCTGGACAGCACGGGGTTGGGGTGCGGAGGCGGGGACCAGTGCATCCTCCACACCCAGGGTCACCTCAGAAACCCAACGCGATAGACAGACAGGAGGCAAATTTACATAATCAATAATAATAATAATAATTAACCAATAATAATAAATACTTAAACCTCTAATCCATAGATTGCAAATACAACAATGATAGCTTATTTTCTCGGGGAACGGGGTGGGGACAGAGGGCACAGGAACAGGACTTTTGCTTAAAGGAGGGATGACAGGGACAGAGCGCTGGGGGTCAAAAGAAGAACAAATAGAAAAACAGCCAGAGGGCCAGCCGGGGGTGGGGAGGGGCAGCTGGGGGGCCAGGCACCTCCCCCACCCCTGCCTCAGGACTCAGTCCTGTCCGGGCACCCCTCCTGCCAAGCCCCTGGCCTCTTCCCCAGGTGACCGGCCCCCACTCCCAGACTCTAGGACATCTGGAAGGTCGGGGACATCTACTCCTGCCCCCACGAGCCTTGGGTCCCAATGACCCAATAGGGTGTGAGGTGGGGGCGGCTGGGGCTTTTCTGCTGCCCTCACTCCCAGGCTGGCCCACCTGGGCTAAAAAGCCACCTGGGGGTGGGGCCTGGCATGTCACCTTGAAGACATTGGGGAGACTTCAGAGGGGAGAGCTCCCAGGGAAGGGGAGCACAGGGGGTTCCTCTCCTCCGAGGCCCCAGTGGCAGTGTGGGGCAGACGTGGGGGACACCTCCTGCATCTGCTCGTGTCAGGGGTCTTATCTGCCTAGAGATCCCCCTCCCAAAGCTAAAGACCCTCACTCTCTCGAAGCATAAGGATCTGACCAGGGCTTAACTGTCCCCTCCCTCTGCAAGGCAGCCACCCTTCATAGAGGCCTCTCAACCTGCAGGAACAAACCAGAACTCCAGATCTGGCCTGGGGCCTGGGGCCTGGGGCTGGGTTGGGGGAAGAGCCCAGAACAAAGACCAGAAATGCGTCTGCCCACCGACCCACTGGCAGGCCCTGCTTCTCCCACAGGTCACCGCCCAGGGACCAAGCTCTCTCCTCCTATTGTTTCCCCCGCCTGGCAGGTGGCACTAGGGGGCACCGGCAATGTGGAGGAGAGGGCAGCAGGCCCTCTGAGCAGCCTTACTGAGCCCATGAAACCAGCCCCTGGCTCAGGCAGGAGTGGGGGACATCCCACCTCCTTCCCTGTGGTGGGGACGCATTATCATCTGACACTCCAAAACTCCCCCTCACCGAGCCCCTCTGAACAGCCTGTGTCAGCCCAATGCTCGTCAACACCTGCCAGGCAACAGCCTTTGGGGACGGGCAGTGGGGGTGCCCTCCTCGGCACCAAGACTTGGAACCTCCAGCTGGCAGGGGGCTGACAGTGCCTCCCAGGCCCCACCCCAGCTCCTGGGGACACCTCCCCCCACCTATGGCTTTGGTGCAGAGCCCAGAAAGGAGCTGAGCAGAAGGGAGAGTGAGGAGAGGAGCTGAGGGTGGGGAGAGGGAGGTTCGGCGGCTCAGTTTGTGGCAAAGTTTTTTTTTTTCCTTTTTTCCCCTTTTTCTTATGTAAAAAGTGCTCGAAAGCTCGGCAACCTCTTTGCAAGGGTCAGCAGTGTTTCCTGGGGGGAGGGGGGGCGGGGAGGGGACCCCAGGCCTGGCACCTCAGCTTGGGGCTGAAGGTGGCCTCATATTGCTTAGAAACGTGTGTTTCAGTTTAAATACCAGACAGTAAAAATAGAGCTCCGAGGGCCGCCCGCACTGTTGCCAAATCATTGCCAGAATGAACAGCTTAAATAAATAAAAAATCGAAATATTTACTTCTCGATAAAAATCGCAGTAAAACCATTTACCTTTCTCTGCATTATATATAATATATATTTATAGTGGGCCCGGCTGCTGGTAGCCGAGCGGGGACCGAGCGACGCGGGGCGCTGCGTCCCGGCCGCCGTCAGGACACCTCGATGACCTCCACGCTGCCCGAGAAGCTGGCCTGCTTGCCCAGGGCGGCCAGCTCCTCGCCGCGCGCGCGCCCCTCCACCATGCCCTCCTCGAACTCCATCTGGCAGCTTCGGCGCTTGAACTGCGTCTCCGGGGCCGGCTCGTCGGGCCAGCCGGTCCGCGCGTCCCGGGACTCGGCCCTCGCCGCCTCTCGCCGCCGCAGGTCGCCGCCGCCCACGGCCTGCGCGCCCGCCCGGCCGAAGGGCGCAAACCGCGCGCCGCCCGCGCCCTGCGCGCCCTCGGGGCTGAAGCACCAGGGCCCGTCGGGCGACGGCGTGCCCGGGGAGTCGAGCGGCGGCGCCCAGCCCCCGGGGCTGGCCGGCTGGCCGGGGCCGGGCAGCCCGGGCGCCGACAGGGCCGACAGGCCGTGCCGCGGAGTCTGCCGGGCGGCGTCGCCGAAGTTCAGGCCGAGGCCGTGCGCAGGGGAGCGCGCTGGGGAGCCGGCTGGAGGCCGGGGCCGCCGGCGGAGCCGCGGGCGCGCCTCGGGCGCCATGTCCGGGCTGTCGGGGCCCGGCGAGGGCAGGCCCAGCGTGCCCCCCGACGGGCTGTCCAGCTTACAGAGCTTGGGGGCCTCGCCGGGGTCGGGGGGCCCGGGGTCGTCGGGCCGCCGGCTCGGGGCGTAAGCCGACTTGATGTCCAGCGAGAAGGAGCGCTTGAGGCGGTTGGTGTCCTGGAGGCGGTCGGAGGAGAGGTGCAGGCCGCGCAGGCCCTGCTGTAGCGCGCTGGTGGCGGGGGCCGCGGGGGGCGCGGGGGGCTCCCCGGCGCTGGGCGCGCCCTCCTTGGCTGCGCTGGCCGCTGCGCTCCCGGTGGCAGCGCTCTCTGAGGTAGGTGGTGGCGGCGGCGGCAGAAGGGCCGCGGGGCCGGGCAGGGGCGCGGGAATCCCGGGGTGTGGCGCCCCGTCGCCCTGCAGGGCCGCCAGCAGCTTCAGGCTGCGCTCGTACTCCAGCAGCTGGCCCAGGAAGTTGAAGTTTGGCGAAATGGACGGGCGCCGGTCCTTCACGAACCTGGGGGAGGGGCAGCTCCATCTGACGGGGCTTCCTCTGGCCAGGCGGCTGGAGACTCCCCCCTGCCCCCTCTGCCCATTCTCGGGGACGCTTGCTGACAGGAAGACCAGAGTGGGCTGGGACTGGGCTCAGGCTTCCCCCTCCCCTGCAGGGCAGCCCAAGTCAAGGGGCCCTGACCAAATTGCTGGCCACTCTGTTGCTAGTAGGTGGGGAGGGGAGGGGGCGCTGTTTCCAGCCACTGGCTGCTAGGCTGGGGAGGGAAGGGGGGGCTACCTGTAGGCGTCGTCCGAGGACATGCCCATGGTCTTCATGATGTAAGCGATGGCGATGGTGGCAGAGCGGGAGATGCCGGCCAGACAGTGGACAATGACTTGGCAGCTGGACAGCTTGGCTTTATCTGGGGGCAGGGGGCCAGTGGGGACCAGGTGAGGGCTGGGACAGCACAGCCGTTCCCACACCAGGTCGGGACCCTGCCTTCCCCACTGCCAACAATCCCAGCTACTTGTCAGGGCTGAGCACCTGCAAGGACAGCTTCCCCCTGCCTCCTCCAAGCCATCCTCTCGTGAGGACCCTGCCCCTCCCGGAACAGGGCAAGAGGGCGCCTCACCGATGAACTCGATGGACTTGTCCAGCCAGGGCAGCAGCCTCTCACAGTAGCTGTCGCTGACGGGGATGCGCAGGAAGCGGCTCTCGCAGATGAAGTCCGGCTTGGGGCAGGAGTTGCTGGCGTTGAGGACATAGCTTATCCCGTTTTGGGTCATCAGGTCCTGGAGGGATGGGAGGACGGGCTGGAAGGGGGTGCAGCTGCGGAGGATTTTAAATCCAGGGATGCTCTCCAGGTGGGGGCCTGCGTCCTGCAGCCTCAGCATTTGTGCGAGCCGGAGGGCCTCCAGTACTGGGGATGCGGGATGCTGGCACCTCGGCGAGGCCCGCCCACAGCGTGCGGGAGGCTCCCAGGAATTCCACCGAAGGCTGCCTGGGCGGGGCCTATACCCTCTTCCCTCATCACCATTTTTAAAACACGGGATTCTTTTAGCGCTGGCCAGGGGCCCAGTGACATCAGCAGTCTGGCATGTGGGCTCCACCACCGGAGAGGCAGGGAGCTGCTTCTCCACCCAGCCCTGCCGGGCCCTTCCCAAGCCCTGCTCTGTCCTGGCAGGGCCCCCTTGGGTCCTCCTGTGCCCCCAACCCAAGCTTCTCCCACACGTGTGCTCCTCCGGCCGGTGGGCCTTCAGCTGCCGCCTCCCCTGAGAGCAGACCAGGAGCTGCTCTGAGCTCCTGCCTCCTCCCCCTCCAGCAGAGCCCAGCTGCGCACACACCTTGTTCAGGACATCCTTCTGAGAGCCCAGGTAGAGGTGAGGCAGGATGCGGGTCAGGCCCACACTGGGCACAGGCAAGCAGGGCTGGGAGAGGCTCATGGGCAGCAGGGCGGCAGGCTTGCCCTCACAGAGGCCGGGGAAGCAGGACGAGAAAGTGGCGAAGCCCCCTGCAAAAGGAGGAGTTGGGGAGACGCACGTCAGGGGGCCGGGCCGGCTGGGGCAGGAGAGCAAGCCCAGGGCGCCTGACAACCACCACCACGTCTCGGCTGCCCGACCCTGCTCGATCCCACGCCAGCCTCTGCCCTGAGCCCCTTCTCTCAGCGCTGCGTGCTGGAGTGCTGCTGTCACCACGGTGGGGCGCGTGCTGTGCACATTTACAGCCGGCCCCTACGCCCACATTCCTCCTCAGGCTAATTAGGGGCTGGCCCACTGAGGACGCCGCTGTGATGCCCGTAAATATGGGGTCAGGGTGGCTGGACAACGCGGCACACACAGGGCCTGGGCAGGGGTGGGCTCAGAGGCCACAGGGGTCTTCCTGTTTAGGGTCTGGATTGCCAGCCCCTCCATACCCTTGGAGTGGCCTGGGGCCCGGCCGGGCCTTCCTGCCTCTCCCGCTGGGCTGATGCAATCTCTCCCTGCCTGCAGTTGGCTAGGAGCCCCAGGCCAGGCTTGGGTGCCAGGCCCAGGAGGCAAGGGCTTCAGAGGCACCCTCCCCCCCCCCGCCGCCGGGCATGACATCACCACTGGAATTGGCACAGCCTGCTGAGGCCTCTGCACTCCTGTTACAGCTCCACTCCACCCAGTAGACCGACAGAGCAAAGGCTGGGCTGGGAACTGGGAACCCTGGGGACAGGAGCACACAGGGCATGCAGCAGGCACGTGGCTGGCATGTGTTCCGCCTCCTTCCCGCACATGTGAGCCCTGGGCCTCAGTTGGTGGGAGGAGCCCCTCCACTGGCTGGAAGGACCAGAGTGGGACCCCCAGTACCAGTGATTCAGCGAGGGAGCATCATGCCTCTGGCCTCAGTTTCCTTGTCCCGCCTGCCACATGGCATTGCTGTGAGGCTTGCAAAAAATGACCGAGAGGATGCACTGAGGGTGGCCCTGCCCACATGCGGCCTGGCTAGGGGACCGCTGGGGACCGCTGGGGACCGCTGACTCGGACCTGCACTGGGCAGTGCCTGGTAGCCACCTGCTCTCGGTGGGGTGAGGTGAGGCTGCCCGGCGGCGCCCTGGGACTGACCACTTCTGGGGACACAGCCCCAGGGCACATTCCCGGTCCCGAGCCCAGCAGGCTGCCGTTTCCAGCTCAGTGGACCCATTCATCACTTGACACAGCTAGGCCAAGGCCTGCCCTAGCCCACTGGAGGAGGCGGGGTCTCAGGCCCTGGAACCCCCAGTGGTCCCTCGGCCCACTGGTCTGCAGAAGCAGATGGTGCCAGAGACCTAGCTGATTCCTAAGGGCAGGGATGCCTGGTGGCCTCAGCCTCACCCCTGGCCCAGCTCAGTGGCTGGTTTGTACGAACCCCCAACCAAGATGCCTGTGTGTGAGCTCCCTGTACCCCCCAGTGAAGGCTTGATGTTGGGGGGCCGTGGCAGTGGGGACCTCCTGGCTGGGGTAGTGGAGGAGAAGGGGTGCCTTTCTCAGGAACCTGCTTGTTGGACAGGGAGAAGCAAGTGACATCGGCAGCAATGATGCCACAGCTTGCAGGTTCCTGTGAGAGGAGGCGGAGCTGGGCACTGGGGGTCGGCCCCGCTCAGTCCAGGACCAGGGGACTCCAGATGTCCCTGCTGGAGGAGAGACCCCCCCGGGAGGGGCAGGGCCACGCCGTCCCTCCACAGACCCTCCTGTGTGCAGGTTTCCCTTACTCTCCGCCCGCTCTCTTGGGGCCTGGCCATGGGGTGGGGAGTGGGGGGGATTCCACAGGGCTGCCCCAGGCTCTGGGGAGCAGTGACAAGGGAGGGACACCAGGGACCAAATCAGTGGCAGTAGGCCTGGACCCTCTAGGCATCCCCGAGGGCACCTTCCATCAGGAGGGACAGCCTGCCCCCCACTAACCCCGCTCCTCCGTTTCACGAGTCATGGAGGGCCAGGGAGGGCACAAGCAGCTCCCTGCCCTTCACAATGGAATCCACGACTCGCACAAAAGCACGTGCCCCTGACGCATGCTGACCATGGGCACTCCCAGCCCAGCTACTGCCCCCACCCCCTGGCAGCCACAGTCACGTAGCCCCACAGCCCCTACTGCCCGTCCGGCTCCCTGTGTCCCGGCGGGGCCCCCACCCACCCTGCAAGCTGGAGCCGCTCCTGCCACCACAGTCTCGGGCCAGGGTCCGAGGGCAGCGCATGCAAGGGGCGGGGCTGCAGGGTCCCCAGGGTCCCTGGGGGCCCACCCTTCCCGATGCTGCGGAGACACCACCAGCCTGCATTCCGCAGATGCACAGGGAGGCAGTGGCTCCCCAGTGAGGTCGGCCCGCCGCTTAAAGGGCCAGGCTCCCTTTCCCATCCCCGCCCCCACTGAACATCACCAGCCAGTAGGTGGAGGGTGGGGTGGAGTGGGCACAGCAGCCAGTTTTAGGACCCCAGAGCCCTGTGCCCACCACCCTCTCCTGCTTCCCGCAAACCCCCCCTCATGGAGAGGGATCTCCCTTCTCTCCGCCCTGCCGTCCTCATATCCCACCCCACCTCGTGCTGGCTCCTCAGCCCCATCCACAGAGGTGTCGCCCAGTGCCTTCTGGCTGCTGCTGAGCCCCCTCCTCTGTGCTGGTGATCCCCAAAAGTCACTTCCCCTTTCTGGGTGGGTAGCCCCATCCCCAGCCTTGCCTTCCCCCCTCACCAGCTCAGGGGCTTTGCCTGCCCCAGGAGTGGGGCTGTGGGCAACGCCAGGAGGCTGTCCCCAAGTCTGGGTCCTGATTTGATGTCACTATGAGCCCTCCTCACAATACAAGGGGTCAGGACTTCTTCCTGGTTTGGTCCTTGGAGAAGCGGGGCAAATACTCTAACCTTGCAGAGTGGGGCAGCTCAGAGGGCTCAGCCAGCCGGGTGGGGCACAGCCAGGTCCCAGGTGCGTCCTCTGGGGGCATCTGAGACAGGCCTGCCCTCTGAGTGCTGGGTACAGGCCTCAGCCTCCCAGAGACAGGCCTTTCCAAGGCAGCCTGGGGGCAGGGACGGTGCTGCTCTGGGACCCTCAGACTCCGAGGATGGCCTGGTGGTTCCCACTCTTGGCCAGGGCACATGCACACACGCTGGGGTTCCCAGATGGGCCCTGGAGGATTTCTGTTCTGTCCTGTTAGAAGCCCAGAGCTTCTGTCTTCTCCCCACCCTCTCAGCCCCTAAACTGAACCCAGGGGGCGGTGGTTAAATCAAAGTCTGCAATTCTGCAGCTTCTGGTTCCCAGAGTTCACACATATGCACACAAATCCCACATCCGACCTAGACAAGTGTGGGACCACCATAAGCAGGAGACTCACACACGCACACACACACGGGCAGATGCTGACCACTAGACTCCTAGAGACACGCACAGATCCAGATGGGCAGAGCGCTTTACCAGCACCCAGACACATGAGTCGAGGCAGCAGGCACACTGCACACGACGCTGACCCACCACCAGGCGCTCCAGGGCTGTGCCCCTTGGCACCTCCTCCCAGAGGTGGGCTAAGCTTCCCCACTAAAGCTGCATCAGGCCCTGCCAGCAGCCTCTCCCACAGGCTGTGCTGACTGTCCGTGGTCCTGCTGTGCCAGTGCAGGGCCCAGCCTGGGGCCATCGACCACCCACCATGCATGTGCACAGGAGCTGCTCAGGGCAGCTACACAGAATGAACAGGAGTGTCCCATCGGCTGTGTGATGGTGGAGGTGGTACCATCTCCAGCCCTCCACACCCTCCACTCACCAGCCACAGCCCCTGGCACACAGAGGCAGGAGGGCCCACACAGGCCCCAGACCTGGGCGAGGAGCGTGCACATCCCTGGGATAGGCCAGCGCCACACGGCCCTGGAACCTGGGCCACCTCTGCGAGTTGGACTCTACAGAAGTGCGTCAGCCACTGCCTCCGGGAGGAAGGAGTCAGCGGGAACCACAGTGCAGCCTGTGTGCGTGTGTGTGCGTGCGCGAGCGCAGGTATGGGGTGCCGGCCAGGCTGCTTTTGGGGAACAGGAAGCCCTGCGGGGACCTCTGCTGGCCCCCAGGCAGCAGTCACCATTAAGAAGGCTGTCACTAGGCCAGCTGTGCTCAGGTGCAGCATTCAGGGACCTCCCCTTGTCGGGCCAGTTCTGGTTTAGACTGGGGTTTCGTGATGGTGGGATGGATAGCGAGCTGGGGCAGCGGGGTGGGGGCAGCTTCCAAGGCAGAGCCGCATCTTTGCCTAGATCCCCCTGCAACAGGCGAATGCTGGGGGTCCCTCTGTCCACCTCTTCACCTGCTAGTGGTGGGGGCAGGCCCGTGTTGGAGGGGGTCCTCAAGTGTGGAGGCCCAGGGGAGGGGATGGTGGAGCCCTGAGAACTCCAGAGCTCTGAGACCCCCAGTGCCCCAGCAGACACTGGTCTCCAGGCTCAGGGAGGAGAGCAGGGGTGGATCCAGAACCTTGACTCCTCAGGCACCCCCCGAAGCTGACAGCGGGGGGAGAGAGTGCCCTGCAGCCCCCGGCCTCGGAGCTCACCTGTGAGGATGGCCACGCTGTCGAAGCAGCCGTCCAGCTTGCTGAGCAGGATGGAGAGGAAGCTGTCTGCAGCCAGCACACTGGCGTCCCGTGTGCTCTGGTCATAGACCACCACGTCCTGTGGTTCCGCGGCCTCCACCTGGGGGCCGTGAGGGCAGAGGTTAGGGCACTGCTGGGCACCTGCTGGATGCCCCCATCCCCTGCTGTCGCCTACCGCTGCTGGTCAGGTGATGGGAGGGAGAGGCTACTGCCACTTAGCTGCCTCCAGGGGAGGGCAGGGACCAGCCACATGCCTCACTGCTCACACCTGGACAGGTGCAATCGCCCACAGCCAGTGAGGCAGGCCGTTGGAGCAGGCAGGGACAGTGGACACTTGTCCCCTATGCAGCCACACATTCACACGAGGGAAGGAGACGGACACTCATGGGCATCCACCATGGGCCCATGCAGAGGAGATGCGGGTGAACATAAAGGCATTCCTCAGGACGCATGCGCAGGTGCCCACAGTGACAGGCGTGCACCGACACGGCCTGTGCTGGCTCCCACGGTGGCCGAGACAAAGGGAAACACACCCGTCCTCAGGGTCCCTGGGAGGCACATTTGGAGGATTTTGAAGGCAGGGTGCTAGCTCTCCTTCCCTTCCCAGCCAGTGATGGGGTGGCTGAGGGCTGCAGCAAGAGCCCCCCTAGTTCCGGCAGAACTGGGGTTCCACCTGCCCTACCCCCCAGTGCCGCCTTGGGGCCAGATGTGGAGCAGCTTTAGCTCCTGAGCAGCTGATGCCCCCGCCCCTAGCGCACTCAGCCTTTAAGCCAGCTGAGCCGCCAGCCCCGGCCGATGATGTCATCAGCAGCCAATGGGATCGCGCTTTGACCAGGAGTCCTCGCTGGGGGCGATTAATCACCGGATTCCCCTCTTTGGAGGCTGCGGGGAGCCAGTTCTGCCCTTGGGGTGGGGGACTCCTGACAAGCAGCCGTCCCCCACCTGGGTCCTCTCACATCCTAACTGTACACGGGGAAGGGCCTGTGACCAAGCCCCTCTCACAGCCTTGGGGCTGCCCCTCATGTCCCCCCACACTCCACATTGGAGGTGCCACCGCCTTCCCAGGTCATTGGCTCCGCGGCCCCTCCCCAGTGCTGGACTTGATGCTCCTGGAAATAGAGACAGGATTGTCCACTGTGGTGACCCAAGACGTTCTTGGGGGGCCACAGCGAGAATCCTGGGTCACTTGAGACTCCAGGGGGGAAAGAACTGTGGCTTCTCCACGTGAGCCCTGTGGTCACCCCTCCTGTCCTCTTCTGAGTCCTTGGCGATCAGAGTGTGCGCTGGGCCTGGCTGCCTCCCCGCCACTGCCCTCTGCTGTCTGCATCCCCACCCCGGGCCCCAGTGCATGGTCATACCTTGCTCATCCCTTCAGCACCCCTCTCTTAGCCCCGTCTCCTGTGTGGGGAGACCTCCCTGTGGGGGCTGAGTGAGGACCTGACAGGGTCAGCAGGCTCTGGGAGGTGACCCGTGTCTGGGGAGACGGGTGTCAGTGCAGGGCCTCCCTGGGGAGCATCCACGCAGCCCTGAGAGGGAAGCTCAGGAGAGAGGGCTGGGGAGGGGCCGAGGTGTAGACTGGCACAGAACTTTCTGATCCAGGAGCCCAGTTTGGGTTTGGGTTTGAGGGCAGAGAGAGGGGAGGCTGACCACAGCCAGGGCCCTGGGTCACCTGGCTGAGGGGCTCAGCTCCTGACTCTGGAGGTGACGGGAGCCCCAGGGACTGGACAGGGACGGGTGCAGGGGCAGCGGCCGGGTACCTGGCTGCGCACAGCCGGCTGGATGAGCTCAGCAATGGTCACTTTGCCCTGCTGCAGCCGCCGCTTCACCAGCTTGGAGCAGCAGATGTTGACAGAGCTGAGCACGTGCCAGCTGTTGTACTCCACGAAGGAGCGGCTGTCGATGACCAGCGGCCCCCCGGGCCCACCCCGCAGCAGGCTGGCCAGCTTCTTGGCATCCATCACCTTCCGAGGGAGCCGGTCCCCGGCCATGGTGGGGCAGTGGGCGGTGGGGAGGGGGCGATCCCCAAAGCGAGCAGCGGCTGCTCCGATGGCCCGGGCTGTGGACTAGCGTTCAGAGTGACTGGGCATAGTGCCAGACCTGCAGGGAGAGGCAGACGGTCAGCAGCGCCGCAGGCCCCCAGGGTGGGCACCTGGCCAGCTCCCCAGGTGGGCCGACCTCAGAGGAACAGGAGGTGGGAACCGAGGGCACCAGAACGTTTGAGCCTGACATGCGCCTATGGGGCCCTGCCTCCCGCGGGTGGATGGACATCCCCTCTGGCTCTTCTATGAAATGAGGCCCCTAACATCTGAGGTGAGCCAGCTGGAATCTGACACATGCAGCTGGAAGGTCCCGTCCTGCCCTGCACTGTCCAAATCACGGTGCCAGCAAGGATGCGGCAAGGCAAAGGGAAGGGTCTCAGGGCTTGCACCGGGCTGGAGAGGCAGGACAAGGTCTGAAGGTCCCTCCTCTGGGCCCGGTCCAGGGACCCTCACTCATTCCAGAACACTCCATTCCGCCCCATGGCTTCTGTCATCCCATCTCTTGGGTGCAGACCTCTCCATTCTCTGGCTTCCACATCTTCTGGATCCCCAGGACCCCTGGCAAGGCAGGGATCCAGAACATGCCCTTTGCCCTCCTCGCCCTGGCACATCCTTCCTCTCTGACCCCACACAGCTCAATCACTCCATAAGCCGATAATCTGGACCGGGCAGATGGGGAGGGGGTCGGGCTGCCTGCACAAGTTGACGGGCTCCCGGAGCAGGGTGGCCAGGCACTGGAGGGGGCTCAGGAGTGGAGGGGGCTCCTCTGCCACCATCGGGTGCGCAGGCCTGCTGCACAAAGGATCAGCGCTGATGTCTGTTTCCTGTGTGGTGTGTCACACACCCACAGAATGGGGTGGCCGTACAGGCACCGCAGAGGCTTAGGGCCTGAGGGTAGCTTCTAGGGGCTGGCAGAGCCCAGGATGGGGCGTGGTGGGGGGCACCTGAGGATGAAAGTCAATGCGGGTGACCCGTATCTAGGACCTCAGGGGGGCTGGGACCCTCGGCATGCCTCCAGGGGTCCTCGGGCTGAGGAGTGCATGGAGAGAGTAGCATGTGGGTAGGGACATGGGGTCTCCAGAGCCCTGGGTAGAAGCCCCCTCCTGCAGGTTCAGTGCCAAGCCTCTGCCACCCCGCACCCCACCTGCCAGATGCCGTCTCCCCTGTCACCTGCCAGGACTGGGCTTTCTCGAGGCCAACCCAAGCTTTACAGCCCCCCAGGAGGCATGCCGCATCAGGGTGACGAGTTTGCTTTAGAGATGGGGAAACTGAGGCTCAAGGAAGGGGCGGGACCAACCCAAGGTCACACCAAGGAGACTGAACAGAACCCAAGGCCTCTAACAGCTGCCACTCAGTCAGGGTCTTCCCTCCACCACATCCCCACCCAGCTTGGGGTGGGGAGGCTGGGAGACAAGTGTACCCCCAGGGTCCACAGAGAGGGGACCTCCTCAGCAAGCCCCCAACCTGCAGCAGCAGAGGGCATGGGGGTGAGGCAGCCTGGGAACACTCGTCACGTTTTAAACAGCCATGAGGACACTGGGGACAATGGCAGCAGCTACCACCCTTTTTGGACCACCCCCTGAGTGAGCTCCTGGGCTAGGGGTGATGGTGCAGTTCACAGAGAAGCGAGAGGAAGGTGCGGATGGTGTCCACCTGAGGCGGGCAGCCTTGGGCCAAGCTGGCACCAAGGGAAGTCAGGGTGTGGGGCCTGGGGATCCCATTCACAGACACCTGCTCCCAGGCTGGTGCTTGGGGCTCCTTCAATGTGGAGGCAAGGCCTGGGGGTGCAGTTGGCCCTTAGACATGGGACCAAGAGCCCAGCTCAGAGGGCCAGGACCCTGGGAGGGAGGGACACAGTGGGGTGGGGGCACTGCGGCCCAGAGGGTCCTGCCCCTCGTTTCAGTGTCTTCATCAGTTATGTGGGGTAGATTATCTCCCACCCAAAACAACAGAAGCCAAACAGCACTTGAGCGCAGGGATGAGGGCAGGGGCTGGAGAGAGGTCTTCCCCCAGCCAGCAGCCGCCCAGTGCACACACTGCCCTTTGGTCCTTAAACTGCCCGGGGAGGAGCCCGGGCGTGGAGGGACGCCCACTCCACAGACGTGAGTCGAGGCTGGAGGAAGAGCAGGGAGGCAGGGAGGCAGGGAGGCAGCTCGGGCTGAGAGGGCCAGTGAGGAGGCGAGGGGAGACCCAGAGGGGAGGGAGGGGGCAGAACAAGCCGGCAGCAGACCTGAAGGCAGGGGAGGGAGGGTGGGAGCTGGGGAGGGGTGCGGGGTGGGGCACCCAGGACCGGTACCTGGTCCCAGTCCCCGCCTGCCAGTGGAGCCTGTGCTCAGCGCTATTAAGCGCTACAGTATTGTTATTTGCAGCCGAGGGGGACTCATTAGCAAGTTAGCACCTCCGTTGTCGCCATGGCAACAGCAGAGGTGCCAGGCAACGCTGCTCCTGTGGCAGCAGCCACGGTGCAGGCTGGCTCTGCAGAGCCACAGGCTCCTCCTCACTGCTCCCACCCCCTTCCCACCCCTGCAGGTGCCCAGAAGCTGGGGCCTGGGATGACCTAGGCCCCCACAAGGCCCCAGCCAGCGGGGTAGATGGATGCCTCCAGGCCCCTCCCCTCTCTGCTCCACCTGGTCCTAACCTCCTCAATGTCGGGCACCACGTGTACAGGCTCCCACCCCTTGGAGGCCTTCTCCAAATGGTCAAGTTCTGGCCAGAGCCCCTCCTGTGGGAGACCTCTTGCACTGAGCTGACCTCCTGAGAGCACATCCTCACCCACAGGGCCTCCTTGGACCAAAAGCTCCTGGGGGCAGACCCCTTGCCTCCTGAACATGCTAGGGATCGGGACCCAGAGCTGTGTAGTGGTGGAGAAGCTCAGAACAGATCAGTCGGGCTAGAACAGGCAGGGTGGACACAAAGGAAACAGACATTGTTGGGTCTTGGGCTTCCCTGCTTTCAGGGACCTACCCCATCTCAGCCTAGATCCCACTCCTAGGGACAGCACCTACTACCTACATTCAGGAGCCTGGGTGCAAGTGGGAGGAGGCAAGCCCCATACACCTCTATCCATCAAAGGGCTTTGAGCCAAGGAGACAGCAGTTCCTGGTCCGAAGGCAGAAGGAGGCTCCCCCTCACCCTGGTTAGGTGCAGCCCAGGTGGCCACAGGCAGCCACCCTTCCCCAGGAGGCCAGGTCCACAACACAGCATGGCCCCTGTGCTGAGTGCATGCTGCTGTGCATGCTGGGACAGGCCCCTTTGCATGCTGACCACACAGAGGCCTGGTGCTCACTCCTTTCCCACATCCACTCCTCCCTTCCCCATGTGCAGTTATTCACACACAAACGTGTATGCACATAGATGTGGTCACTGGATGCACCCATCCTCACCCTCTGCATGCCAAATCCCCCCAAATCCCAGGATTCCCGAACCCTAGGTGCCAGCTCCAGGACCTCCTCACGCCGTTGCCTCCCAGGGCCTCCACGAGGCATGTGTGTGTCCCTGAGCACATGCATGGCCAGAAAACTCCCAATTGCCGGCACCCTCACCACAGTACCTTCTGCTTAGCATCTGGGGATGGGGAACTCACTACCTCCAGAGACAGCGGTCAGGACCATCAGCCACGGGAGGATGGGGGACTGTGGCTCTCACTGAGTGTGTCCCCAGCTGGAGCAGTGCCTAGCAGACTCTAAGGAAGAGCTGGCAGTTAGGGACCCAAAAGGCTGGAACGTCCAGCTCACTGTGACCCAGGGCACAGCTGGAGGCAGACACTGCCACACTATGAGGCCAGGAGAGAGACGGGTAGGGGTGACCTCCAGGAGTCCAGGGGCCTGAGTGCTCATCCCAGGTCAGCCCACTTTACTCTCATCAGAGACCCCCAAATGCTCTGGCCCCTGCTCCCTGCTCAGCTCCCTGGAGTGAGTGGGATAGAACCCAAGCTGGCCTACACTGACCCCTGGCTGGACCAATGGTAAAGCCAGGCAGAGCCACCTGGCTGGGGAGGCCATGGGCCCTGACCCCTCAGTTCCCAGGGGTCTGGGCTGAGCCTAGGGTGGGAAGGATTGGCCTAGGGGTCCTTGAAAGGGCAGCTCAGAATGCTACAAATCTAGGTTTCCTTCATTCCTGCCGTGGTGTGTCCCAGCCCCACTGATCTGCAGGACTTCTATGGGTCACTGTCCCCGAAGCTACACACTCGGACCAGCCCAGGGCATCTACTGGTCACTGCCCCAAGCAGTCCAGGCAGAAGGTGCCTCGGCCCATGCAGTCCTGGTGGTCAGCCTGATCCACACCTCTCTTGCTGTGGTCTGGCCCCTTCCTCCCCTTTCTCTATGAGCTGCACTTCCAGGGATGCAGCCAGGACACCCTCGGGCTTTCCCCGACCCCAGCCCATGGCTCCTCGGCCCTCTGTCCAGTTGAGGCTTCTGGGTCCCGAGGTCAAGCTCAGCCCAAGAGGATGATCGGGGGAAGGGTCCTGGAGCAAAGGACGACTTCAAGCATCCTTCTGCATCTCTGTGCGTGGAGCTCTGCTCCCAGAGGCAGCCTCTGGGGCCCAGGAGCCTTCCTGAGGGCTGAGGGCAGTAGGGACCAGAACCTGCCCAGCAACTCTCCCAGGTCCCTAGGCTGACTGCAGCAGGAGTTATTTCAGTCAGACTTCAAGATGAACTCCCAGCTCCAGTCACATGATCTGCCCATCCTTGGCGGGTGCTTATTAACCATCTGAGGCGCGAACGCGCGGGACATCTATCCTCCCTGAGCTGGGGTGGATGGGGGGGCTGGATGCTACATTCATTTCCTGGGCTGCCCTGGGAGCAAGAAGGTCTGAGGGGAGGCCACCGGGACTGTGCAGACCCTCAGACCTCCCAGATCCCCAGGGGCAGGGGGCAGAGAGCAGAAAGAGAACATTGCTCTCCTGGCCTGCAGCTGCTCCCTCCCCACACACACACCTGCACAAGAACGCTGTAGACACCACACTAGATCCTGCCACCTCTCCTCCACCCCACGGAGTGCCCCCCACCCCATCACTGCAGCACCAGACCCCCAGCTCCCCCAGCAGAAGCCACTACATGTGCGCAGCAGGAAGTCAGAAGGCAAATTCTCCCAGAAGGGATGACCTGGTGGGCGCTGGGCCCATTGTTGCCCCCTCCCCTCCAGGGCAGATCATTAGGTACCCCTCCACCCCCAGGTGGGCAGAGAGGCCGAGGGAGGCTGGTTGCACTCAGCCTGGCAGTGCCAGCCCCTCCCCCAGCACCCGCGGCTGCCTCTGCGGCAGGCTGGCTGGCGGACGGTCTTTATTCCGCAGAGGCCAGCTGAGCACCCAGAGGTGGGGGTGCCCGCGGCGGCCCAGCCAGACAGGGGAGATGGATCTGCAGTCCCTCCCTACCAGACACGGAATGAGCCCTTTCCTGAGCCTCCCACAGGCCAAAGGCCCTCCGCTCCCTTGGCCAAGGCCTCCGCATCTCCCCGCCCGGCCCGGGGCTGGGACGACCTTCTCCAATTCTGGGCCCCAACGGGGAACCGTCCGGGGCGTCTGGGGCTCGCGAAGAAGGCTCGGACAGGTCCCCGCTGGATCTCAAACGGCCCTCCTGGGTCCTTAATTCATGCCCCTCCCCCACCAAAATGAGAAGGAATTGCAGGAGAAAGGCGGCCAAGCGGCGGCCAGGTGTGGGCAGGGCTGGGGTCCGCGGGGCGCTGCGGGAGGCGGGGGAAGGCTGCCCGGCTCGGTGCGGGGCGACCCTGCGAGCCGGGCTGGGGGCTGGGGGCTGGGCCGCTCACCCCCGGGCCGCCTCCTCCTCCCGGGCGCCCGCCGGGCGCAGTCCCCCGACCGCTCTCGACGAGGCGCCCCCCGGGCCGGCAGTGCGCACGGGCTCCGCGCCGGGCACCCCTCCCGCCGCGCCCCGCTCACCTCGCTCCCCTCGCTCGCGCTCGCCGCGGGGGCGCACCGGGGACCGCGCCGCGCTCAGCGCGCCCGCTCGGCCGCGCCGCCCATGGGCCCGGCGGGGGCCCGCGCAGCCGGGCGGGGGCCGGGGGACGCGCGCGCACGGGCCGGGGCGCGCGCGCTGCGAGCGGACACGCGCGCTCGCGGCCGCATCCCACCCGCGGCTCGGCGGGCGCGGCCGGGCGGGGGCTCCAGCTCTGGCGGGGCGGGGGCGGGGGGCGCGGGCCGGCTCGGCCGCCGCTCGGCCGCGAGTGACAGGCCCGGGCGGAGGGCGGGGCCGCCGGGGGATGAGGTCATGCCGGGCGAAAAAAGCCCCTGACGTCACCTGCAGCCAATCAGCGCGCGCGGCTCGGGGGCAGGTGACGTCAGCCGGCCCGGCTCACGGCGCAGATTAGAGGCGGCGGCCGCGGGGGGCGAGGGGCGGGCTCGCCGCCCTCCGCCCTCTGCCCTCACCCCTCACCCTGGCCCTGGCGCTTAAAGGGGCCGCGCGTCCCGAGGCCTTGCCTGGGACCCCACCTCCAGGAAGCCTTCCCAGCCCCACCGCGCGGCCTCCCCGGGGACCCCTAGCCGCGCCGCAAGCACACCGGCGAAGGGTCCTGCGCGAGGGTCCTCTCCACGCCGCCCCGGCCTTTGTTGGTGCGGGACCCACACCGGGAGGTCCCTCGCTCCCCCTGCCGAGCGTTCTACCCTCTCCACGACCCCTGGTGGGGAGCCGGGGTCTCCCCTCTACTGGGGGCGAGATTGGAAGCTCAGAGGCGAGATGGCTTGCCTCAGGTCATACATCTCTTGAACTCTGGTGGGGGGAGCCCCCAGCGCAGTGCTGTCCCCCCAGCCCCACCGATGACCTCCACCCCTTGACCCGACAAGTGAAAAGGTACCCCAAAACAGCTCTCACTGGGGTCCCCCCTGACAAAGTGCGCCCCCATAAGACCTGTTGAGGGTCCACCCCCAGCTGAGTGCGGTGGGAACACAACCGGTCGCCGCTTGGACGCTGGAGTCCAGCGCGGGCTCATAGGTAATTACACCTCGGGCAGGTGTTGGGCTGAAACAAACAGAAGCCAGAGACGCCCTGGAGCGGGTGGGCGTCCCGGAGGTGGCGACATGCAAGCAGTGACTGGAGGCTGGGAAGGCGCCGGTGGTGCAGGAGGGGACCCCCGAGGCAGGCAAAACCTTGGCTGTCCCGGACCAGGAGGCGGCCGCCGGTCCTGGAGTGGAGGAGGCGGGGCGCGCAGGGTGTGGGAGGGCACGCACTCAGACATCTATCGATTGCTCGGTATTTATTGAGCGCCTGTCCCTGGCACTGGGGACTTAGCTCCACGAAATGGGACAAGGACCCCTGCCCCGGAGCCCACGAGCTGTGGGAGACTTTGAAGGTAGTTATTTTTGGGAGAGGTGTGACCGGATAGCCCAGACATTTCTAAAACCCCTCCCCCAGGGCTGTCCCATGGACAGTGAGGGCGGCCCCTCCTCCATCTTGGAGCCCCCAGCCATCCAGGCCTCTCAGGGCCACTCTGAGGCTCTGAGAGGGGCTTCGGCCCCCCGGAAGTGCAGCCCCTTCCCGTGAAGGGAGGGGTGTGGGAGGCGGCTGTCAGCCTCCCCTGGTTGAATGAAAAGTCACCAAAAACGCAGCAGGCATGATTGGCCTCCTGGGCCAGGGTGGGCACTCAGGACCCCAGAGCTCTGAGTGGGAGTGGGGGAGGACAGCGGGCAGCAGGTGGGTGCTGGGTAAGGCTCCCAGGGGCCCTCCTCCCCTTTCTCATACTCAGTTCTCCAGACCAGTCGGTGCTGCCTTGAGGCTCAGAGTTGTGCACATAGTAGGTGCATAGGAAGTGTTTGGGGCGCCTCCCTCGCTGGCCTGAGGAGTGTCTGGGCAGTGGTGAGCATATGGGGTCTGTGTGGGGGGAGAGTGTCCCTGGCTCAGAGCCAGCACAAACATCTTTTGGGGAGTGAGGCTCTCCCGGAAGGAAGCGCTGGTAACCCAGGGGCTATTTGGGGCTGGTCCTTCCTCCCTCCCCTCACAAGCTGGGCCCCAAGGAGGCGCGTCCTGCTGAGAAGACAGGTGCTGGCCGGAGGTGGATGGTGGATCTGAGCTCTGGGGGGTGCCGAGCCTGGATGCATGGCCAGGTCAGTGGTGCATTGCGGGGTGTGGTGGGGGCTTGCTGGGTTTGACCTCACTCCGTGTCTGAAAAGTGGGGGAGGCCAGGCCCTGAAGGGGGGCAGGAGGATTCCGACTGAGCCCCCAGAAGCTTGCCAGGTGGCCAGAGGAGGTACGTGACGCCCTTGGGCAAACACAGACAGACCTGAAGGGCCTGTGACCTGCAGGACTGGCGGGTTGTCCCTCGTTAGATAGAGGAGCTGTCACTTGGGAAGGGGGGGCAAGGATGCCCCACGAGGCTTGTCCCCTGCCAGGCCCAGGATGAGCCCAGGGGAGAGGAGAAAGGTGGAGGGTGTCCTGCAGGAGGGGGTGTGGCCTTCTCCTCCTCTGCCCAGCCCTGATGTGGTCAGTGTCTGCATGTGGCCTGGGGATGCCCTTGGCCCCTAAGAACTCTGGCTGTGCCCTAGGCAGCTCCCAGGCAGGCCTGAGCAGGCGGCAGTAAATGAGGGGCAGGTGTCAGTGTCCTCGCCCCCTTCTAGAAGCTGCAGGTGAGTGGGTGTGTGGGGCGCCTGGCCAGGGGACAATGTTTGGGCATGACTGTTTTATAACCCTGATGGTCATTTTTTCGTGCAAATGAGCACTTAAAACCTGTGGTTCTGCAACAGTGGGGCTGAGGGGTTGGGTGGTACCATTTCTGGAGGGAACAGTGACTTTCCAAGGCCACCAGCTCTGCTGCCTAGGTTCTTTCCAGCCCGAAGTTGGGGTGGGGTGGGGAGGAGTGCTGGATTCTATGCCCTCCCTCCTTCGCCCATCTCCCTTGCGCCCCAGCAGAGGCCGGTCTCAGCGCCTGCCTGGGGCAGTGGGCCCTCAGGCTCGCCGCCCCCACCCCCTCCGCCCCGCCCTGCCCTCGCCGGGTCAGCTCCTCCGGCGGCCAGCATCTCCGGGGCGCGGAGGGGTGGAAAGGCAGGGGTGGCCTGGGGGCGGGCCGCGCGTGGAAGGGAACCCCTCGCGGATTTCCAGCTCCCCAGCGGGGCCGGGCTTCAGGCAGTGGCCGTCGTGCCAGGTGGGGCAAGGTCCGAGGGCGGGCTGCCTCCTGGGCCCCGGCTCCTGGCAGGTGATCGCGGTCGCGCCTGCCCGGATGCCGCCTTGGGGTCCTCGGGGTGGAGCAGGACCCTCGTATGGCTCGGGGGCGCCAGGGCCGCGTCGGGGTCGGGTCGGGCATCCGTCGGCGGGACCCGCGCATCCGGGCGGGCAAGTCGGAGCGCAGCCGTCCGGGCGGTCCGTGCGCGCCCTCTGCCGCCCGCCTCCGCCCGACGCCGCGGCGGACGCCTCCTAACGCGTGCAAGCAGAGAAGTGCGTTCACTTTTTCTCTGGTTGGCCGCTCATGTTCCAACTAACGACATGGAGTGAACACGTGTCCTTGGCGTTGCATTTTCCACAGCCTGACTTTTTAAAGTCAAGGCTAGTTAATAAAGGGCACGTATCAGGTGTTCAAGAAGATGGGTTGTGACAACTGTGTGGGCATGTGTGTATTATCTCTTTCGCTGTCCATAACGAGACCTCGACCGTTTCCATCGCCCCCAAAAGTTCCCGGCCGCGCCTTCCAGCGGGTTCTCTCCTCCCCTCTGACCTGTCACCGCCGGTTAATGTTTCCTGTTCTTGAAGTTCATAAAAATGGAAACTTAGCCGTGTGTTCAAAAAGTGTCTGGCCTTTTTCCATCAAGAAAATGTTGAGATTCATCCATGTTCCTGCTTTCCCACCACCCGATTATAACTATGTGTGTGGTGCTGTGTTACATGGATGTGTGGTGAGATTTGAACCAATTCTCTGTTTTTATATCTTTGATTATTTCCGTGTTTGGCTATTAAAAACAGTTCGGTGAGTGGCTTCTTTCTATGTGCTTTTCATAACACATTTCAGATGATTTTTTTCCCTTTTTTTAAAATTATGATATTAAAAAAGGCTTACGAATAAACACAGACAATGATATAACAAACACCTCGCTCATAGACCCAACTATGTCAGTATCTTGCCATTTTTGCCTCGGATTAGAGCAACAGCCGTGCAGATGCTGGTGCTCTCCTTGTACCTCTGTGGCCTCTCTGTCCGGGGGCAGCGGCCATGCAAGCTGGTGGGGTCTCCCTAGTTGTGTCTTTATCATTTTACTGCATGTATAAATCCTGTGAACAACAGATGGTATTGTCTTGTGTGCTTTTAAATACTTACATGTAGGTATCATGCCGCAACTGTTCTCCTTCAATTTCCCTTTTCTCACATCTGTTTATCCTCCTTGTTGATGGTGGCAAGCCTAGTTCCTCCATTTTTGCTGCTGTATAGGTTTCCATTGAATGAATAGACTGATTACTTGGCCGTTCCTCTATTGACAGACATTTAGCTTGTTTTCAAGTTTTTCTCTTGATGCAGTGGGGCAGCATCCTAGCAGACATCTCCTAGCGCAGGTTCCGCCGCTGCGTCAGCATCGCCTGGGACCACGTTGCACGTGCGGACTCTCAGCCCCCACCCCAAGCCTCCTGAGCCAGAACGTGTGTTTTAAGGAGCCCAGGAGATTTGTATGCATGTTCAATTTTTTGTTTTCCTTTTTTGCATCACTTTAATTTTTACAATTATCATATAGTAAAATCAAGTTTTTAGTTGACATTTTTTATCGTGGTAAGATATACATAACATAACGGTTATAATTTTAACCATTTTTAAATGTACAGCTCAGTGGCATTAAGCACATTCACATTGTTGTGCAACCATCACCACCATCCATCTCCAGAACTTTCCATCT